TATAAAAGAAAGCCTTAAGCCCTTCTTCCTGGGTCGACTTCTTGCCCCTTGCTCTTTTGCAGGGTATTTCAATAAATCCACCTTTTCTGTTCTCCACTCTGTCTCTGGTGAATTCTTTCACCCCTACGCCCATGGTTTTACCCCAATACTTCTCCCCATTACATTTACTTACTAGAAAGAACCCACTTTCTGCCTGACATGGTCTTCTCTGACAATTGTGTAAAGATAATTTTTTTCTTTTTCTTCTTTCCATAGGTAACCAAGGTCATTTTTGATAGAGGCTTAGAGTAGAAAGTTTGAGATGTAGGCGTCAGAAACTGGAGGAGGTGTGGAAATGATTAACAGTCATTAAACCATCTATAGAAATCAATCTTTATGCACTGGAAACCATTAGTCACAGACTGCTATAGAACAGATCGGTGGGCATGGACCAGAGGTGGGGATGTAGAGATTAAGGGCCATTACAGAGAATCACAGGCCCTTACAAATTAACCCAACAGTCCCTGGAAATGGTTACTTTAACAATAACAATTCCATAAAGGATGAACCCTTCCCCCCTAAAGAACAGTGTCAGAACAATTCCTACCCTGGAAAAAAATGCAGCTATTCTCACAAGACTGCTCACCTGCATCCACACAGGCGTCTCTTTGAACAAATACGTCCCTTTTAAATGTAGCTCTTTCTGCCCTCTCATGCCTGTGCAAGCATTTTCTTCTCTTTTCCTTTTTTTCTAATAAGCCTGCCCTTTTAGATATAACCTCCACCTGCCTGTGTTTGTGAAAATGTCTTTGTCTCCTAGGAAACTTGCTGTGTGCAGCTGAAAGGGGAACTGCTGAAACCTTTCTCAGAGGTAAAACAGGGACCACACTCAATGAACCACAACATCTCAGCAGAACCCCATCAATTTTCACTAAAAGTCAATTAACTGTAAGAAATATAATCTGTCAGTAGTCCTAGTTTTTGCAGTTCTATCCTTCTTCCTCCATCTTTTTTCGTTTAAGAACCCCCCCCTTCAGCAAGTCCAGTGGGACACAACTTGGACTGATATCTGAGTTTCTGTTGCCCAATTTTCAAATCAAAGACCCTTCCCCAAATAAAAATATTATTTTATCTAAACCTTGCTGAGTTTTTTTTTTTTTCCTCAGTGGACAAAAGTTATGTGAACGTGGTCTTTCTCAAAATATCGCAATGTAGGGCCTCCCTGGTGGCGCAAGAGGTTAAGATGCAACCGATGAAGCTATCCGCAGCCACTGCAGCACAAGTTCAATCCCTGGCCAGGGAGCTACCCACATGGCGCAGCAAACCTCTCCTGTCTTGCCTGCTGCTCCCCTCAGTAGTGTATTACAGTCAGTCTGCCTGTTCTGTTCCCCACTCTGTCTCTGGTGAATCCTCTCAACCCCCACACCTCTGGCCTGTACCCCAGTTCTTATATGCATAAATAAATGAATCTTTAAAAAAATCACACAAAAATATCGCAATGTACAATATTTTTGGACTGCAGTTGACTGCTAGTAACTAAAATTGCACAAACTTAAACAAAAAAAAAATAAAATTGCACAAAGCAAAACCATGAATAAAGATGGATTATTATATGAATGAACTAGAGTTTATTCAATTAGACCCCCAGTGATGGGCCTTAGGATTGTTCCCAATATTTTCTATTCTCAACAATGCTGCAATGAATGAGGTTGAACATGTTTCATTTTACACAGCTGCAAGTGTCTCTACTGGCAAACTCAGAATTGCTGGTCAAAGCTTTGTGTATATTTGTATTGATGTTAGCAGCAGAACGAGGGCCACTCCAAGACCCCAAAACCTGCCTGCTCTAAATGGGCTCTGCCACCTGCCACATGAAGATAAAACATACTCTGGTGTGTAAGACCTTCAATGGAAAATAACTTTAATACAATTAGTGTGCAATAGAATTAGTATGCAATAGAGACAAGAGAAAGAATATAGTTAAAATAGTTTCCCCATGAAATATCCAAAGTTACCCTTGTAGGCAAATGTTCAGTCAACCAGGGTTGGCCCAAACAGAGCCACTGATGCCCGAAAGCCTGCCACAAGTCTAAGGCACCTTCTGCTGGGGACCCATAGTAAAGGGGCAGAAGGGCCCAGGCAAGCCTGGAAGGAAAGGTGCAAAATCAAAATGCAAGTTACAGGCCTCTCAACCACATCCTGTCTCTTTCAAGCATCCCTTTCCGTGGCCCCCCGAGTCCCTGGTACAAGTCCAAGGCTGACATGCAGGCATGGCTTGCAGCTTCTTTACATCTCTGCTCCACGCGACTTCTCCAAGTCTCCTTCTATTCTCTTCTCCCAGGTGTTCTAGCTTCTCCTCACTGCTCAGCTCCACCTTTCCTGCACCAGGGAAGCTAGGATCTCCCTTTTCTCTGGATATCACACTGTTACACTGATACACAATACACATTAGCAAAAGAACCACTCTCTAATCCAGCAATAAATTAGCTTCCTCACAATCTCACCAATAGAGTGTACTGTCGATTTTTCTGATGCTTGCCAATCCTCCGTTAAAAAAAGCGTGGGTGAATTGGTGGAGGAAATTCTGTGGGGACTGCATCTGAGGGGGAAAAAAGCAAACATTGTTTGAAAATGAACAATGATGTAAAATGTATAAAATAAATAAATTTCAAAAGCAAAAATAAAAAAGTTAACTCAAAGTGTTTTCACTTGTATTTTATGGGATAAAATCACTAATTTTTCATGTGATTGTGAAACGTTGACAGTGGAGTCATTTTAAAATGGAGTGGAGGCAGCCATGTCAGAGGAACTGTCTTACACAGACAGGGCTAAACTGTTAAGATTACAAGAACATTCCAACATTCTAATGGAAGTGAAGTTTTACCTACTTTCAGTTTGTGAGCCCTCAACTTGATTGTTTGACCTTGTGACTCCTTTACCTGACCATTACCTCATCCTTCTTTCCATCTCCATAAAATTTCTGGTCTTGTGTTCCTTCTTGGAACACAATTTGCTTTTCTACTTGAATCTCTGCTCCCTGAATTGCAATTCTTTGGTTGCAAATAAATGCTTAGATGCATCTCATTTTTTAAAAAAAGACACAACGTTTACTTCCTTTTCTATAAATTCTCATTTTCTTTACTGTGTTGTGAACTTTTTCTAGTTGATCCTGGAAGCTCCTTGAATATTAATGAGACTAATTAGCCCTTGGCTGTGATATGGGCTGAGACTATGTCTTCCTTACTAATTACTTGTCTGTTGACTTTGCTCACAGTACCTTTTGCCAAACTAAAGTTTTTCATAGTCAAAGCATATGAAATTTGAGAGGTGTTGGAGACACATTTCCCCATGTCATCTTCTTGTCCCTTTATGATTCCATTGCACATCTACATATATTATGACTTGTATTTTATTCTGGTAAGATGATGAGGTATAGATACAATTATGTATTTTTTCTGATGGTTCTAACTCTGTCCCAATACCATTTATTAAACCGTCCATCTTTAACCTTAGTGACTTGAGATATTACCTTTATCAGATAACAATTTCCCAAAATTATTTGGGTATATTTTTGGATTTTCTCTTCTGTTTCATTAGTTGATTTATGCATCACTGACACTACTTTATTGATTGAGGCTTTTAAATGTTTCTTAACTGGTTGGTCTAGCAGCTCCCTTCCTATTACTCTTTTTCTGTTTTCCCAGCAGATGCTCTTGTATGTTTCTCCCCATATGCAAATTAGAAACACTTTATGTAGTTCAATATTTAATGGTATTTTATTGGCTTTGTTAAATTTGTAAATTATGGAGCACTAACATTTATGATGCAAAATTTATTTATCCAAGAAATGATATTTTCCCATGTGTTTTTTTTTGTGTCATATGGTATTTCTTTAAAATTTTATTCATGTTTCTACATCTTGCACAATTGTTACCCAAGTTTATTGTTAGGTATTATATGTTCTATTTTATACAAATGTTTCTTTTTTCTAGGAGCCCTATATAAAATGCCTCTTCTTCCATATCTTCTAAGAGTTGTCACTTAGGGAGGGGCCTATTTTTTTTTTTTTTTGATTATTTTTGGTTGCAGAATTCTCTTGTTTCTGTCGTTTGTTACACTCTCCCACCTGCTTTGGACCTGATGTTTGAGAAATAAACTGCGTGAAGGTTCCCTGATTCTGGATGGGCCGTCGCTGCAGCTTTTCCCAACAGCCGCCGCCGGGGTCAGAGGAAGGACGGCCGGGCCCGCGTCCTCGGGGGGGCAGTGGGGCGGCGAGCGGGGGTTCAAGGCGTCCAAGGAACAAGGAGTTTTCACCGCATAGAATTTATTATTTATTTTTCAAAGCAGAAAGTGGTTTAAATCAAATCCCCATGACGTCCACGTTCCCACGGCTGTTTCAGAGTGTGTGCAGCCCACGGCCGGCACCCCCAGAGGGCGGCACCCCGCGAGGGCCGCCCCCGCGCTCCTCACGCCGTCCCGGCCCGCGCTCGGGTCTTGGGGGGACTCCGCGGGCTGCCGGGGCTCCTCCCGCGGGCGCGGGGGGCACTGCGGCGGGGGGCGCTGCTTCGGGGTGCGCGGCGCCCCGGGTGCTCGAGGCCGCGGGGGGGCTGTCCCGGAGCCGCGCGCTCACAGCCTCTCGCGGCAGGGCCGAGCGCCAACGCCGGCGCCGCGCGCTCCCCACAGGGCCTCCGGGCGCCCGGGCGGGCGGGCACCGGGTCCCCGCGCCCTCGGGCCTCCCCGCGGGGATCCGGGCCGGGCCGGGCCGCGCCGCTGCATCCGGGTCCCCCCGCGGGAGCGCGCACGCCGCCGAGGGCGCCGTGGGTCACGTGCGGCGCGTCCCCGCGCGGCGGCCGGAAGTGAGGTCGGGCGCGGCGGCGGCGGGCAGCGCGGCGGCGAGAGGCGGGCAGGGGCCGGTGAGCGGGCGCGGGCCGAGGGCGCGGGCGGCGGAGACCAGGGCCTCGCGGCGCAGCCCCGCCGAGCGCTGACCCCGCGGCGCCCCCCCGGGACCCCCGCCGGGCCTGCCGGCCGGCGCGCCAACCCCGCGGCCCAGGCCGAGCCCGCGGCGGGTGAGTGCGGCGGGCGGGCTCCGCGGGGCGGGGGGCCGGCGCCCCCACCCGAGTCCCGGCGCGGGCCCGGCGGGCGGGGGCGCGGGGGCGGCGGGCCCGGCCGGAAGTGCGGCGCTTTGTGCGGCCGGCGGGGGCGGCGCCAAGGTCGGGCCCGCGGCTCGGGGTCGCCGGGCTCCGGGCCTGGGGCGGCGCGGGGGCCGGGCGGGGGGCGGGGGCTGCCCCCCGGCGTCCCCGCGCGTCTGGGGCCCGGGACGGGTCGGCGGCGGCGACGCGGCGGGGTGCTCGGGTGTGGGGTTCGTGGGGTGCGGGCCCGGGCGCCCACTTGGCCCCCCGAAAAATCAGCGCGCTTTCGGCGCTTGGCGGCGGCCTCCAGCGCGCGGGCGCGGGCGGCGGTTCTTAGTGTTTTCTTCGGAAAGGGCGTTCCGGGCCCGGGTTGGGGGGGCCGCAGAGGGGGGCGCGTCCGAGGAACGGGGTCTCCCCGGCGCGCCCGGAAGGGGGTGCCCGCCAGGGTCCCTGCGGCCGCGCAGCCGGCGCCCGCGGTGTCGGGCGTCCAGGAACGCACCGCAAATGAGGGGGTTGTGTCGGCGCCGCTCCAGCGCCCAGGGCGCCTGTCGGGGAGCCTCTTCCCCTCCGAGGCGGCAGACGCCAGGCTGGAAGTTTCTGCCCGCGGGGTGGCGGGGTCACGTCTGAGAGCGGGGCGAGGGAAGGCGGGGAGCCCTGCTGCTGCGGCGTGGCCGGGCGCGCTGCGCAGAGCCGGTCCCGGGGCCGCGCGCCCGGGCTGGCGTCGCCGCGGCGCGCGCTGCGGCCTCTGCGCTGCGGAGCCGGCCCGGCCAGCCCAGCCCGTGCGGAGCCTCGGGGCCTCCTCGGGCGCCGGCCCGGCCGCCGGGGCGCTCGCGCCTGCCCCGGCCCTTCGCGGGGGTGTGCGGGGCCCGGCTGCGGGTGCGCCAGTGAGGCGGGGGGACCCCGGGAAGGAGCCGCAGGCGCCATCTGCTTGCTCTGCGCTGCTGCTGCTTCTCACCTGACCTGCGTGTTTGCTTGGATTTTTAGTTCTGTTTCTTTGCCAAACTGCCTTTCAGCTCACTTCCACGTTAAGGTCGGACAGAGCTGGAATGTTAGTATTTGAATTTCCAGTCATCAGGGAGAGAGGAGAGTGATACTGCAGAGGGAGAGGATTAGACTGGAACTGAGAATAAAGATCTTTAAGTGCATTTAGAAAGTATTGTTTTGATTTTATAATGGGGGTTTTTGTCTAACAGGTTCGCCCTACATAGCCACCCTTGTCATGTATGACAGCTGCCTTGCCTGCCGCAGTTGAGAGCAATTTTGAAACAATATTAGATTAAGAGAGTAACAGTTTCTTTCCTCTCTGCTGTCTTACGCTGTATACTTTGAAGTGTCTTCAGTTCTGTGTAGAAATACATGTATTTTCCCTAATAGATGTTAAACCTTGGTATTAAAGGTGCAGTTTGGGGGAGTTGAGAACTTTCTGCTGATTCTTTTTTTTTTGGCTCTGTCAGACACTGCCAAAAATTATTGATGTTGATTGTAGTAAAGGGTATTGTCATGTATATTGGTGTCTCTGAGAGAAATAGAATTTAAGCCCCTTGAGCTTAGTTTTGTTGCTGTGAAATACTTATGTACATAGCCTTTAAAATTATATGACTACTGGGTCTCCCTGTTAGTGCAGGGGTTAAGGTCTCGCGCTATCCAGCTATCACAAGCCACTGCAGCGCAAGTTTGATCCCAGGCCAAGGAGCTAACCCACAGCAGACCTCTGCTGTCTCACTCACTGCTCCCCTTAGTAGTGTATTTCAGGGGATCCTCCTGTTCTACTCCCCACTCTGTGGTGAATCCTCTCATCCCCCCTGCACCTCCGGCCTGCATCCCAGTTCTTGCATAAATAAATAAATGCATAAATAAATAAAACCGAAACTTAAAAAAATCACATATTCATAAAACACATTTAAAAAATTTATGACTACTATTTTGTAGGGGAACTTTGTATAGGTCATGTTTTGAAATGAGAGAAAGTATATTGATGGGTATGGAACATCCTTTCATAGGATTTTCAAATTGAGGAGTTTTTGCTGTCATCCTATTTTTAGAGACAAATACGAGATGTATATTCTGATCAAATGTCATGCTACCCATGGGAATTCTGATACTTGAGTCTTTCCAAATAGGAAACTTTAAAAAAAAAATACTGATACTCTTGGTAATCAGTCCAGCCTTGGAACTGGGATCCATGGTCCATACGAAATAGATTGGGAAATTGGTGGTTTCTGGGTTGCCATGGCACTAGAATCCCAGGCAAAGTGGTGATGGGTTTTTTCTTTTACATTATGCAAATTTTAAAAGTATAGCAATACAATAAACAGCCATATACCCAGCATCTTGATGTAACAATTATTAGTATTTTCCCATTTTTGTGCAGGTGTCATGTCATTTTTATTCTTATGCGATTTAGTGTACATTTCTAAAAATTGAGAAGCTTTAAATAATTAAGATACTGTTGTCACACCTAATATAATTAATAGTATTTTAATGCCATCTTAGCGGACCCATATTCAGTTGTCTTCCAAAATCCACCTGTGCCCTTTATGTGTGAATCTATGGTATTCCTCCCCTCTCTGGCACCTTTCTTTTACTGAAGAAACTGGCTCATCTGTTCTCTGTAATACCCTATCTTTTGGCTTTGTCTCATTGCCTTATGGTGGTTAGCATATTCCTCCAATCCCCCTTTTTTTTGGCTGTCTGAAAGTACAGGCTTCGTTAAGTTCAGATGTTAGTATTTAGTAGCGCTGTACCTTAGGTGGTGCAGAGAAATTCATATTTCCATCGCATGAATATGCACATAATGTTAAGCAGTTTGACACTTATTGATGTTAACACTGATTTCATATCCATTGATCTATAAATGGGTGTTTCAGTAGTTATGAATTAGAGTTTCAATATTTCAAAGTTGTATTTATTGCTTTGAAAAGTCCTACATTTTCTGTTGGATAGTTCTTTCCTTGAAGAATATTCAGAAGCTATTTTTGATGTCCTGGTGCCAAGCCCCTAGTGATGCAGGGGGACAGGATTGGATAGGGTATTTTCCCTGCCCTTCAGGCTTGGGGAATTGCTCATCAGTTGAACAAATAACTTAAGGAGCTGTTTGACATTTGTTCACAGATTCGTCGTTTGTATTACCAGTGTAAGTCCTTTTCGCCTTCCTGGAGAGGGAACTGCGGCATTTTCTTCTATCCTGTTAGCATATTTCCTTACCTATAATTTAAATTAATTGAAACTTTTAATCGCTTTAGGAAGTATTATTAGCCTTCGGGGAAATAAAAGTGCTTTCAGGAAATGGAAGTTCTGAGAATTTTGGAACTTAGGCTATTTATTTTTTACGTAGAACTGGGGTGTAGGCCAGACGTGCAGTGGATGAGAAGATTCACCAGATACAGAGTGGGGAGCAGGACAGGTGGATTTACTGAAATACACTGCTAAGAGGAGCAGTGGGCAAGACAGGAAAGGTCTGCTGCACCTTGTAGATTAGCTCCCTGCCTGGAACTCAGGCCCTAGCAGTGATAGCGCTGACATTTAACCTGTAGGTCACCAGGGAGACCGCTTACGGTATTTAGAATTCAGTACAATTCTATACACTTTTTGTGGCGTATGTAAATAGACTGGTATTAACTGGTTTAGACTGTAAGGTCATTATGGATTGGGAGTCTTGCACCAAGCAAACCAATTTTCCAATATTCCTGAACTACACCTTATATTTTTCTCATTTCTATGGCTTTGGGGACCCTGCGTGTTATTTAAGGCTTACAGGAAATGCCACTTCTGTACTCAGGTTTTTCCTGACCCTTCCTCTCCTCTCCCATTGAATCTTTGCTCTCCTTGCTCAGCCTCAGAACCTTTTTCTACACTTTATGGCTGTTAACACTTTCATCACCGTTATTCATGTCTTTTGTCTTGTGGTCTCATTAATATTAAAGTTAAACTAAAATTCAGTTCCTTAGTTGTGCTCCCCAATTTTTTTTTTAGTTTTATTTATTTTTTGTATAGAAGAATTAGGTGCAGGCCAGAGGTACAGGGGGTGAGAGGATTCACCAGAGACAGAATGGAGAGCAGAAATGGCAGATCTGCTGCTAAGGGGAGCAGTGGGCAAAACAGGAGAGGTCTGCTGCGCCATGTAGGTTATAATGCTCCTTTGGCCAGAGATCAAACTCAGGCTGTCCAGGTGGACCTTCATGGTGGTAGCACTGAGATTTAACCCTTAGGTCACCAGGGAGGCTCCTGTGCTTTCCACATTTCACGTGTTCAGTAGCCATTAGCCGTTCCTGTATGTGGACCGAACCGACATACATTTCCATCTTCATAGAAAGTTTTAGTGGGCGGCACTTTTCTAGCTTGTAAACTCAGAGCAGGGACCGTGACTTTTTTATTTTCTCTGTGACCTTTCTGTAGTGTTTGGCCTATCTTGACTTCAATTAAGAAAATAAAATTAGATGGCACAGAATAGAGAAATAGAGGATTGGGCAGTGTTCCCTTCCCCAGGGATTGAGGAGCAATAGGTTCAGAGTGTAGGAGAATAGGAATTGGCAATGCCAACTTGTTTATACTTGAATGTGGGGTAAAATACACATTTGGTTATTCTCTTTGCATCTTAGCCTTGTTTTCTCTCTAGTCACTCCTGTAGACTGGCACTGAGATCTCCAGTGCAGTAATCCCTGGCTGCAGATGACTGTTTAAGTTGGAGTTAAATAAAACTAAAATACCAGGTCCTACACCCCAGCGCTTTTCAGGTGCTCAGTGGTTCCTTTTAGCTCATGACTGAGTATATTGGATGGCACAGAAAGAGAGTATCTTCATTGTGGAAATTCTGGCAGGACTAACCTAGACTTCTTTCTTGGCTGTAGTTGTGAACGTGTGGCACATTTGGTATCTGCCTTTTGGTTTAGAAGGTAAAAAAAAAATAGGTAATCAGTTAATGAATGTCCCAGTCACTGATGTCCCCAGTTTATTTCTAATTAAGACCAGAATGTGTTACAAAGGCCAAGGATGTGATTGAGTCTATTTTTAAGGTGGTTCTTTTTTGCGTGTGTTATCAAATCAGCAAGTAATTGCACCTGTTTTGTGCAGGCAGCGGTGCTGAAGGCACTGTAGTAAATAGGACCACATTCCTGGTCCTTGCCTGCATGAGCTATGTTCTAGTGCGGGCAGTGGTGGGGAAGACAGACGCTGAGTAAATACATGCACATCTTACGTATTTTTATTGTTATAACAGGCTTCATGCTTGAGAGCATTTTTGAACACAGTGGGGAAAATGCAGAGTTCTTCAGTCAGTCACTTACTAGATAAGAAATAATGAGTAGTCTTAATTAAACTCATACATTGGGTGATAAAATGGAAGCTTGCTGGAGATACTGGAAATCTCATTGCTATTGGGGAAGGGGTAAATTCATGGCTGTAGCTTTGCAAGTGCTTGAACATTGCAGGAAGAAAAGATTTATGATTGATAGAATTTTGGATGGGGTTAATGGAGTTGCTGGGCAGTAACTAATTTGCCTTTTTGCCAAAATATGTATATATATATAAGAAATAGAGAAAAGTGTAAAAACACACTAAATGCACCACATCTAAAGACAATCATTGTTTGTATTTTTAATTTCCTATTTTTTTAATATTTATGTATACAAGAACTGGGGTACAGCCCAGAGATGCGGGGGTGAGAGGATTCACCACAGACAGTGGGGAGCAGAACAGGCAGACTGACTGAAATACACTGCTGAGGGGAGCAGCGGGCGAGTCAGGAGAGGTCTGCTGCGCCATGTGGGTAGCTCTCTGGCTGGGGATCGAACTCCTGCTGCAGTGGGTGGGAATAGCTTTATAGATTGCCTCTTAACCCCTTGCGCCACCAGGGCGGCCCTGTATTTATTTATTTATTTTTTGCGGCCCTGTACTTTTAATTTCAGCCAGACCTTATTGTTGAGTGGCACATTCCTATATGTGGATGCATATTGAAGTTCACAGTATTATGCAATTCTGTGTTTTTAAACACTTTATAAAGCGACTGCAGGATATTTCTGCTATGTATAGAACAGATTTACTTAAATATCCTGTGTTATAAAGAAATTTAGACTATTTAGAAACTATTTTTTCTGTTTTAAAAAAGCAGGGACATAGAGAACACCTTTTCCCTTTAGCTTTTTTTTTTTTTTTTTTTAAGATTTATTTATTTATTTATACAAGTACTGGGTACAGTCAGAAGTGTGGGGGGTGAGAGAATGCACCAGAGCAGGGAACAGAACAGGTGGACTGACGAAATACACTGCTGAAGGGAGCAGTGGGCGGCAGGAGAGGTCTGCGCACTATGGGGGGCCCTCGCCGGCTGCTGCTCCCCCTTAGCTTTTGATGGACTGAAGAGAGTTGGAAAGTTTACAGACTCGTTGGCGCTTTTGGTATTCCTTGTCTACGCTGCATTGATTGGCAGCATGAAATGAAATACCTTGTTCTGTAGTAGACTACAGGAAGAACTCTTAATGTCTGTGTTTTTCAGATTAATGCTGAGAGGGAAAACTGAAAACAAAAACAAAAGGGCCTGACTAAATCACTTTTCCTCCCTTTTTAGTTTGTGAAATCATGAATCCTGTCTATAGCCCTGGTTCTTCTGGGGTTCCCTATGCAAATGCCAAAGGAATTGGTTATCCAGGTAAGCAGTTGCAATTTTTTTTTCATTATGGGAACTTTTGAACACTTGGTAAATTTTCATGTCACAGTGAATGATTTCGGTTGATGAAACCAACTCAAAATGGCTTAGACAAGGAAGAAAATATGTTGGCTTATGGAACTAAAAAATCAAAAACTAGGACTGATTTTGGCCAAAGCTTGATCTGGTGGCTTTAACAGTTGGGACAAGAATCTATTTCTCTGCAGCCTGGGCTCAGCCTTCCTTTATGGGCTCAGTTTTGGTCATAGGTCATTCATTCGTCTTCCCCATTCTGTGGTCCCTCTGGTGTTCAGCCCCTCCTGGCAGTCCCTGGCTTTATGCTCAGATCTACTCTGCAGGAAAGCCCCTTTCTCTGTTCAAACCATTCCTGGGGTTTTGTTCTGCTTGAACTCAGCTTCTGTCCCTGGGTGAGGGAGGAGATTCTGCTGATTAATTTAGTCCCCGCCCTTATTGGAGTTAGCTAGTCAAACTTAGCTTGTGTGGGAGGGGGTGGAGCCAAATGATTGTCCTAATTGGTGACTTCAAATAGGGAGTAAATTACTTGGGTGTTTTTTTCCCCACCATTTTCAACGAATGTTTGAGTGCCTGCTGTGTGCCAGGGACTATTACAGTTGTTAACAAAAAAGATAAAAATCTTACCATTCACGGGCGCTTGTCTTCTAGTTAAAAGATAGAAATGGGTGGACAGATGATAGTAAATATGGAAATAAAATGTCAAGTGTCATATAATAAGGGCAAAGAAGGAAAGACAAATGAAAGGGAATGGAGTATTGGGAGTTTAAATTTCCTCCACTAACATCCTGAAGAAACTGACAAAGAGGCCAATGCAAAAGGAGACAGATCAGTTATGCAGGAGAAAATGGACAATGAGAAATTTGAGTAGGGATAGAAGAGGGATCTGTAGATGTTACTGGCTCATATGAGTTTGAATTCGTTGCTATTGGCTGCCATGCTGTTTTGCCCTCCACATCTCTTAGGGTCTGGAACCTAGGTCTGGAGAGTGAGACACTTGCCTGGGGAAGAATGTTTAAGGAGGCATCAAACAAAATGCTCAGTAATGGTGATAAAAGCAGGGGTCAGGGACAGCTCCCTGCCTGGAATTCAAGGCAAAAGGAAGAATCAGTGATTTGATTATATCCCTTTATTATTTGTTTTTGTTTTTTTTTTTAAGATTTATTTTCTTTATGTATACAAGAGCTGGGGTGCAGGCCAGAGGTGGGGGGGGCGAGGGGAGATGTGTGTGAGACAGTTCACCAGAGAGTGGGGAGCAGAACAGGCAGATTGACTTAAACTGCTGAGGGGAGCAGCGGGCAAGACAGGAGAGGTCTGCTGCTCCATGTGGGTTAGCTCTCTGGCTAGGGATTGAACTCCCACTGCAGATAGCTTCAGAGTGCTGAGACTTAACCCCCTTGTGCCACCAGGGAGGCCCTGACTCTATTCTTTTAAATTCTGATGTTTTGTGTATTGTGTTTTTATTTATATATTATTTTTATTATATAATATTACATATAATATATTGAAATAATATTTAAGTATTATTTTCATTAAAATATTACTGAGTTTTTGGTTGCCTTCTCAGATTTTGTGCCTGTGGTGTAGGCCTAGCTTTGTCTTCTGTAAAGATTATACACACAGTAGCTTTCTGTTGGGACTGAAGGAGAATGGGTGGTGCCCCCAATGGAAGCACTGTACTAGGAGAGTGAAGGGGCCCTCCCATGCCCAATAGAAGGAAGCAGGACTTAATTCCTGGGGCAGGACCGTAAAGCAAGTTATTACCAAAAGAATCTAAACACCCCTCTCTTGGCTGGAGGTTTTCTGCAGCGTGAGCAGTCTCCAGTTGTCCTAGTGGGATAGTGAAGGGCAAGGTGACCCTTGTACTTTGGAAGGCTTGGGGACACGAGTGTGGTGCAGTTAGCCGACTGCTTCTCTCCCTACTCTGTTGCCCTTGATAATTAAGCTGGGAAGGTGTTAGAGGTCACTGGGCATTCTAGGAGTGAGACGCTTGGCAGCCCTTGGCCCAGTCAGGAGTACACTGCCTTGAATAGCGCCCTGGCCCTAGTTAGGGAGGGTGGAAGAGTAGGCAAAAAGGTGGTCATCAATTGCCTTCCCTCTGGGAAAGGAGAGGGTAGTGCCCTGTCACTGGTTCTGCTCAAGAGAGTGCAACCCTCAGGAAAAGGGAATAGAAAGGAACAATCACCTGTAATGTTACAATTTCAACCCAGGTTTTGATAATCTGGTGGAACAGTAACTTTAAAAACCTGTTACTGAAAAGAAAATTGAATGACGCATTTTATGAATGTATAATTGAACTTTCGAGAAAGTAATAGAAATACCTGCAGCTGAATATGAAAGTGGTGTAAAATCCAGTACATTTGGCCATTGAGCTGATGTTCAGTAGGACCTTTGTTTGTGCGTGTTAGCAACCCGTATGGGAACAGAAAATGAGACTGTAGGCCCCTGTGGCCGGGAGCTGGCGTGGGAGCTGGTCCTCAACCTGACACTGCCAGGCAGTGCATACAGTGGCCCTAGTAAGTAGTATGTTGCTGCTTGAGGTCTGGGGTGGGAAAATCTTCCCCAAGAATTTGTAACCAGTTAGCAGTGGTTGAACCTCTACATTGTTAGATGTGTTAGGGGGCCCAGAAATTGAGAAACTAACATATAAAATAACACCCAATGTACATCAACGTCGGAGCATCTGAGAGCAGCAGTGAAGCTGCTGTGGAGCCGCATGTTCTCCATCCGGGCTGTGTGGGCTCCCCAAGGACGAAGTTCTGCCAGTTAACAATGGAGAGTTATAAAACGTGGTGCTACTCATCATGGAGGAGCTACCAGTCATGACAGACTGCAGAAATGGAGCATCAGGTAGAGGCTACATCACACAGTTTTAGGATAATTGAAGATTCAAAAACTTAAGAGGGTAACAATACACAGGGTGGGGGGAGGGGGGACCAACTAGAACCTAAAGAAATGGAAAAAAAACAACAGCATTTGCACAAAATTCAGGTTAAGTTGTAGATAGCACACTGCCACAGAAGAGAACTAGACTGCAGCCTAGAGTGGGGAAAACAGACTGGTTAAGAAACAGACATATTACATGAGAGGGCCTGAGGAGAGTGACGAGCTCCAGAGAGGGGCTGAGTAGAAAGACTAGAAAGAAAGGAGTAAAAATATTCCAGAATTAAAAAGATAAATTAGTGGTGAGATCTACTGTCTTTGAAGTGTTAGGCATAGTTAAATAGCTGAAGAGTGCTGAACAGATGAAGAGGATCCTGAGACTGTGTGGAGCCTGGGAAGTAGGCGAAAACCTGTGGTATTAGCATTACCTCTGGTAGTCCGCAGAGCAGTGCAGTGACCTGTTGGACACCAGCTCTGTGGAAGGCTGTGAAGATACATAAATTTTGTTAAGCAGGTATTATGTAAGGTTCAGATTATGTGTGTTTTAGTGTTACTCTCTGTTGGAGCTACCTTTCTGGAATGAAAGCCATAGACTGCCAAGTGAGAGTGTGTTCCAAGAATACTGAAGACAAACAGTAGGCTAAATATGTCCTGTGGACTATAGTTTGTTGACCTCCAGTCAAGAGAACTGGAGTAAAATAAAATGCCTTTTAAGGTTCTTTTTGTTTTATCTTAAAATTACATTTAAAAGAAATTATCTGTGACTTTAAACTGTAAATTTTGTAGTTTCTCCTTATTTCATCTTTCTTTATACCTATCTTGCCAGTTTTCATACTTATGGTATTTTTAGTCTTCCTGACTTTCATAAAACTATCAGGAAGGGCTGTGTAACTTGTTTTTATTTTAAGGTTATACGGCATATTGTGTACACGTTGTGAAATGATTGCCAAGGTGGAGTATCTCCAAATATCATCATACTGGGAATGAGAATTTCAGCACAAGTTTTGGAGGGGAACACAGATAGCTAGTCCCTGTCATGCCTGCAAGCCAGCTACATGCCTATGTCCTGATTTCTCCTTTGTTACACTAAAGGTAATGGGCCCTGAGATGGAGTTAGGAATGCAGACGTTGTTGGGGAAGATAACACTTGTGAGCAGTCTAGTGGAGAGGAAGCAGATTGGACAGGGAAAACCTCAGGACTGGGGGACACTAACTCTGGGGAGCTCTGGGTCAAGCACTGGCAGTTAGAGGCGGCCCTCGTGAGGCAGAGGTGACTCTGTAAGGTGCTGCTGCTGGAGGCCTTCAGGTGGCATATATCTCACAGTAGAACAGCAGGTTCTTTCTGGGTTAGAGATGCAAGTGGTAGCTTTCATTTTGCTTTGCTAATGTTTTTTGGGAGTTATTCCATATCAGTTCACAGAGGTTTCGCTTGCTAGTTTTTCTTTTTTGCATAATACTGCTGCATAATCCTCTGTCTTACAGTGTTTCCATAGGTTTTTTCCAACCAATCTTTGGGTGGATATTTTTGTATTCCCTCTTATGTTGCTTGTGTTTGTGGCAGCTGTCACCTAGGTGGATCCCTAGAGGTGCTGGGTGAGAGTAAATGGGCATGTAACTTTTCTGATAGTGCCAAGTTCTTTCCATAGGATTTTTACTGTCTTGTACCAGGAGCTTATGTGAGAATGTTGTTTCCACACAACCTTGCCAGCAAAGAGTGTGGTTAGCATTTGGATTTTTGCCAGTCTGATGAGAAATATAGCTATAATGGGCAATTCTGTCTCATTGATTTTTGCCTTTATTTTTTTTTTAATTTTAAAAGATATATAAAATGTATTGGCACTTAATTATTATCAATCTCATAAAAGTGATCAGGATATGGGATCACTGCCAATCTTTTGCAAGAGGGGAGCATGAGCTGTGTAATTTCTAGCTTTCTAGCCTCCCCATGCCAGAGGGAGTAGATTGATGTTGGACACAATTCATAGCACTTGCTGTAGGAGACACTTTTAGGAATACTGTGCTGTGGCCAGGAAGACTGACAGGAATGGGCAGGAACAGTGGTTTTCAACCTTCCTGATTGGAACCCTGCAGGTTAGAACTGTCTGGAGGGATTAAGAAACAAAAAATGTTTGTGTGCACCCAAAACCAGTTAAAGCTAGTGTTTGTGGGGATCCTGGGCAGAAATCCATTCCGGAGTTCCATGTGGGGGGTTTGTGAGCCATGGTGGAGGGTAATGGACTAGAATTAGTGATTTGGGATGGTGTGGTGTGAGTAGGGTTTGACTGATTGGGCAGAGGAGGAGTAGAGGGTGGCCTGTATTTGGTATTTATGTGTTTGAAGTACTTGCTCAGTGTTTTGTTCCAGCTTAGAGCATGTTAGCTCATTGTCAGAAGGTGGTTAGGACAGGAAGGGCCAAGGAAACATAATAGTTGTGTTTTATTGACCCTTACATAAGTAAACCTGAGCACAGGATTCCCCCTGACAATGTATTGGTACAGTTAATGGGGAGAGATGAGGAGATTTATGTTTTTGAGAGAATTTTTGCGAGAAGCCTCAAGGATATGTTGTAAGTCAGTGATGTTTCAAAAATTTTTTTTTAAGCAATGAAACTTAAAAAACTCTAAATGGCTCATTGCTCTCTAAGATGTGTGGTAGCAGCTTCTGCGGGTAAATTTTGAGAGCAGGCTCCAGAGCTGACTTGCCTCCTCTGCTCATAGATGAGGCCTCTAAGGAATCTTTCAGTGTTCATAGAGCAGATTGAAAACCTCATCTTGGTCATTAAAAATGTGCACTGTACGTCTGTTTCAAGTTGAATCTGTCCTTGGTGTCCCAAATGAGTGAACCTGATAAACATTTGACCCCACACACTGTTCTCTGACTAATCAGGGCATATGGGAAAGTGATAATCCAGGAAGGAAACACAAAATAGCTTTTGCTGAGGTAGAGGAGGATCAATTTTGAGAGAGAAGAGAACAACTCTGAAGTAAGGGGTTTATTTGTGAGATGAGAACTGGGCACTTGCAAGTAGGGACTCCTGGCAGCAGTGGTACAGAGAACTATTGTTCTTGGTCTTTGAAGAGTCCCATAGAAACCCACAGCTTGAGCAAGGGCATCCAGGCTGCTGTGGAGATGGCAGGGACTTGTGCGAGACACTAAATTCAATTCATTACCCTTAAAAATAAAATCCATCCACTTAAGAAGGATACCCAGAAGGCTAATTGACACATGGAAAAAATTTTTAAAAGCATGAGACAGGCCATTACTTTTGATAAGAAGATGCAGATCAAAACCACACGGAGAATATCATCTCACGGGTGTGAAGACGGCACACCCTGAGAAGACCCTCAGCGGGTGCTGGAGAGGATGGGGGGAAAGACCAGTCCTGTTACACTGTTGGTGGGAACGTCAAGGGGTGCAGCCACTTTGGAAAATGATCTGGATTTATCTAAACTACAGATGGAAATACTGTCCCACTCTTAACATCTGTCCAAAGAATATGACACCATCAGCTCAAAAAATTACATGCTCCATAGTGTTGTTAGCAACATTATAATAGTTAGGACATGAAACTAGCTAGTGCCCACTGATAGAGGGTTGGGGCAAGATGTGGTATATCCACACAATAGAATACTATTCAGCTATAAGAAAAGATGAAATACTGCCCTTTTCAGCAAAACGGAGGGAGTTTGAGAGAATTACTGTGTTCAGTAAAGCAAACCAAAATGACAAAGATAACAAATACTGGATGTTTACCCAGCAGACAGTAGATGATTTGACAAGCAAAATACTTGTAAAACCAGCAGACACTAATAAAATTCGTTTTCCAAGCCTTAGAGGGAGGGGGGAGAAAGGGTCAAAGAACGGAGGGTGGTGGGGAAAAATAAAAAATAAAATCCAAACTCACAAGGGATTTACCTTTGGAATTTTATTACAACCCTCCTTTTAGTCTTACCTTACCTTACTATCCCTACCGCTTCTGTGCTTCGGTTATTGTTAACCATGATGCCTCCTAGGATGTGGTCCTAGGAGACACTATATTCTGAATTTCCTCAGCACTGTCTCTTTTGAAGACTGCTGTTCATTTTCAGCTTATTTACAGGGGAGAGTATAGACAGATAATGCTAGTTTTTCACAAGTAGTGTGTGGCTGTAGTAAGACTAGCAGACCTGGGCCTCATAGGGAGTCCTGAGCCAGGTGACTGAGGCCTCCTCAGCTGGTGGCCAGGGTTTCACTAACACTTTCTGATGTTTCTGTTGTGTCACATAAATTACGAGTTGTGGTTTAGACAAATTGAGGGCTCTTCTGTTAATAAAGGTGAGGTTGCTTGCTGAGTGGGTTATGAGATTAGAGTTTCTCAGTTCTGTGGGTCTGTGGTACTGTCTAGACCCCTTACTAAGTAATATATTCTATGGTTAGAATCTAAAATAAAATTGCCAGAAGTATTGGGAGTTTTGCATTCACTCAGAGGCTTAAAAAGAGATGATTAGGATTGCGACCATCACAATTCTGAGGAAAAGAGACAACTAAAGACAAACTGTCCAACACACATAGTGCTGTTGGGCTCCTTAATTCATTCTGGAGTTCTGATGAAGAAGGTAAGAACCCTGGATCTGTGGGACCCCTGGTTGTAAAATCAAGGAACCCCTTCAGGTGATGACATCAGCTTGTTCTGTGTTTTTCTCCAGCTGGTTTCCCCATGGGCTACGCAGCAGCTGCTCCTGCCTACTCCCCGAGCATGTACCCTGGAGCAAATCCTACCTTCCAAACAGGTATGCAGGCCATATGTGTTGGGGGCAACAATGTTCTGTTTGGGTAGCAGGGGTAGAATGAAAAGTGGGTGTATTATGAGAACAGTGCTATGGAATTAAAATTTGGGGTTGAATTGATTTCATGGTTTGTAAAATTAGCCTTGTTGGTGAATGCAATAAAATCTTAACTCTTAGCACATATAAAGCTTTAGCTAGCGCATTTCTGATGTCCTTCCACAACAAATCTTTAGCCTAACCATAGGTTGTTACAGGTTGTGCCAGAACTACTTATGAAATAGTGCTGATTAGTAGAAATTAAAGGTCATGTACCCATGGATCTGCTGGGGTGCTTTGCCCCTTGGAGATCCTGGCCTCACAGTTTTCATAGAAGAGACAACAATTGTGCTGCTCTTTAGAATTCTTTCTATTTTATTAATCATAAAATGCATCCATCTGTGACTTTTTTTCCATTCCCACTCTGACCACCTTTATTTAGCCTGTAGCCCACAGCCAGAGAAAGACATGGTTTGGTCTTCCTGAGTTCTTGTTCCTCCCCATTTACATCAGAGGATGTTAGCCAGGTGTTTCCTGTGACCGTAAGACAGTGAAGCCACATCTCACTGTACATCCCTACCTCTTTGCCTGCTTGGTCAGCTCTTGCCCAAATAGTTTTTGCTTAGCTTTTGTTACACATTCTTTCTCTCCCATCTGGACTTCAGTAATACCTGCTATTTTGTGCCTGTCTTTTGGAGTATGTTAAGGAACAGCCCTTCTGCAGCGTCAGCAGTATTATTACTCACTGCTGAATGGCACCACCCCTCTCCTTTTTTGTATAACGCCTTAGCATTTTAAAAGCAGCTCTTGAGATATAATGTCATAAGGTAAATTGTACCTAGTTGATGTGTACGCTTTGATAATACTTGATATCATTTATACCACTCACAATGCGGAGCAGAAGCGTTCTCCTTCCTCTGGGTAGTCTCGCCCAGGAGCCAGGAAATCACTGATCTCTTTACTCACTATAAATGGTTTGTATTTTCTAAAATACTGTATAAGTGATTCATAAGAGTGTACTTTTATTTACTAGCTACTTTCAGCACAATTATTTTGACATCCATGTTGTGGTTTGTGACAGCCTTTAAGGGGAGTTCATTCCTTTTTATTGTTGGTAGCATTTCATTGTATGGAAATAACCATAATTTGCTTATATATTCACTTGTTGGATTATCTGCAGTTTGGGTTATTACAAAGGAGATTTTGGGCTATTATAAAAAAGATCGTGTACTAATCTTTTTGTAGAACATGGGCTTTCATTCTCTTGAGTACGTATAAAGGATTGGAGTGGCTGGTTTTTAAGGCAGGTGTATGTTTGACTATGTAAGAAACTGCCAAACTGTCTTCCAAGGTGGTTGTTCCCGGTAGAGTTGCGGTTTCTCTACTTCCTTTTCAACACTTTGTTGACACAGTCATTCTTTTAAATTTTAGCCTTCCCAGTGTGTTGTGTGTAGTGCTGTTCTTAGTTATAATTTGAATTTATTTAATGTCTGAGTATGGTGAACATTTTTTCATGTGCTAATTTGCCATTTGTATATCTTTGGTTAAATGCACATATCTTACTGTGTCGTTTTTTCCCATTTTCTTACTGAGTTTTTTTTTTTTAATTGATCAGATACATATTATCTGGGTCTGTGTCTTTTCATTTGCTTATCAGTTTCTTTAAAAGTGAGAGTTTTTCGGGCCTCCCCTCGTGGCGCAGCGGTTGAGTGCTGGGCTGCGAGGCTGCCCGCCGCCTCTGCAGCGTCGGTTCGTTCCCCGGCCGCTGGTGAGGGTCCCACAAAAAAAAAAGTGAGAGTTTTTCAATTCAATGAAGTTTATACTTTTTTTCTTTTATGCTTATGCTTTTAGTGTCATTTCTAAGAAATATTTGCCTAATACAGTATCACAAAAATTTCCTACTTTTTTTTCCTCTAGATTTTATGGTTTTAAGCTTTACATTCAGGTCTATGACCATGGGTTAACTTTTTATCTAGTGGTAGGTATGCAGTGAAGTTCACTTTTGAATGAGCATTAATTGTTTGTTACAGTGTGTCATAATGCCAGAAACCACCATGTTCTAAGAAGTCACTTTTCTAGAGTGTTCTGGGTTAGCCGCTTGGACTCATTTTCTTCATGGCGTACAAGTTAATGTAAAGATGTACTAGGAATGTCCAACTTTTTAAAATTCTTTTACAAAAACTGCCTCATGTGTGTTTGAAGCTGGCAGAAGTGTTCTTGCCTTGAGTGTGCAGCACTCCCCAGAAGAGGAGAGTTGGTGTTTGGGGGAGGGGGTCTCTTGCTGCTGTCCAACAGCTTCCTCCCGTGGGCGCCTCTGGGCTGAATGGAGAACGGGTATCATCCCTTTTCTTCCACATATTTCCTTTTTCTTGGGAAGAGATGGTTTCTTTCTTGCCAGTTCTCTGAGACTGCTGTCTAGTTGCTCTCCTCACCCAGAAGTTGGGGCAGGCAGTGGGATGAAAGGAATTGGTAGGAATGGTGACAGTGAAGGTCTTTCCATAGTAAAGGGGCATCCACTGCTCATGCCAGAGAAACGGCAACTGTCGCACTGCCCCAGCAGTACTGGATCCTCTGACTTTTAGGAGAAGCTGGGAATAGAGATGTGAAATTTGTGAACAAAGACACTTTGTTGTTGGTTTTCTGTTTTATTTATTTATATGTTTTACATCCTTTTTTTTTTTTTTTTTAAAGTTTGCTTTCTTTTCTCAGGTGTAGTCCCATAGAATTTCCACCACCAGTGCACCCGTGCACCATCACCATAGTCCCTTGTGCTCTTCCCGCCCTCGTTTGATCCCTCTTCCTCTCCCCTGTAGAATGTCTCTGATGTATAGTTGTCCATTTATTATTGTTTTGTTGTGTTTTTTATTTTTTCCTTGATCCCTTGTATGGTTCCCCTATATTCCTCCTATAAGTGAAACCATCCAATATTTCTTTTTCCTTCTGACTTATTTCACTGAGCATAATCTCTTCTAGCTCCATCCATGTTGCTGTGAATGGCATGAGTTTTTCTTTTTTGATCGCTGAATAGTACTCCATCGTGTATGTATGCCACATGTTCTTGATCTAGACATCTATTTTTGGACATTTGGGTTGATTCCAAGTCTTACCTATTATGAATAGTGCTGCAGTAAGCATAGAGGTGCAGGTATCCTTTTGAATTAATGTTTTTGTGCCCAACAAAGGCGCTTGAAGGTCCCTTTCAGCTACCTGACCTGAGACTGGGAGTGTAGCTGTTGCGCCCATCTTTTTCGGGGATCCTTCCAGTGTTTTCATGTCTTCCAATTTTTAAATTCCCTTTTAAATGACTTTCTTCTTAACCTGATGAACAAGCCAGAGTCGTCGTCATAAAACAGGAAGCTTTTTTCCATTTTTGCTGCTTTCTCAGTCTGTCTTCTGTTTCTTCTTATTTCCAGATTTATGGACAGAGCTGATGTGTAGTATGGGTTCTGTGCTTGTGAAGTTTGGCTTTTAAAGTACTTTGCAATCGCTTTATTTCTTAGCTCTTCTTCCGTGTATAGCCTAGAGAGCATTGGAGAACCTTGTGATGAGATACTGTGTCTTTTGCTGAGACTCCTTTACTCAGAATCTGGAAATGAAGAAGGTGGCATTTCATCCTCATGGATAGTTGTAGCGGTTTGAGTACACATGTAGAAGCATGGGCTGTGGAGTTAATTAGCTAGCTCAAGTCCTGACTCTGTCCCTCCTGAGAAAGTGGTTTTATTTCATTTTTGGTCTGTGTCATGAACCAGGCTGTCCCCTTAGTTGTCACCATCAGGCTCCCATGGCACTGCAGTTGCATATTCAGACTTCATGCTCCACTTCTGCCCCCATTTACGGTCATGAATCTTGTAAGATTTGCAGTGATAATTTACAGTTATCAAGAAAATGTTCAGTTCTTTGTAGTAAGCTCTGTTTCAGAGGCCGGCTAGATACTACGTTAGAAAGATGAAAATGTTGCTGTGGTGATAAGAGAGTTTCCGTGACTGCTGCTGTGTATGACTGGATGGGAGATAAATTGAGGAAGACGTTTTGGGAGGACAAGTTGGTAATACATTAGAAAGAAATCTTAAAAATGACTGATGTCTAGGAATTCTTCCTGAAAAAATTAGATATGCAAACATTTATGTATAATTACAAATATATCTAATACCAAAGTAATGGTTTAATTAAACTGTTGGTTTAGTTTATAGTGTTTAACTGGTGTTACTGCTTGTTTATGAAGGATATTAAATAAGTGAAAATGCTTCATGGTGTACATTTTTTACTTTTTATTGAAACAAATGTACTGGCATGTAAGTTCCAGGTGTGCATCATTAAAAGGCAACGTATTTATCTAATACATTAAGTTCATTGCTAAAAGTCTAGTTCTACCCTTCACCATACATGTTTTACCTTTTCAAAATGAAGAATTATATCCATGAAGTAAGATCCCCAGCTCTGTTTGAAAATTAAACTTCATTTATGGCAGTGACACAGGAGACAGAAGTGTTGGGATGTTACCAGGTTATGGAATCATCCGGCCTATGTCTGTCTAATGTAATTTAAAGTTTACAGAATCCAGCAGCTCTGCAGGCACTTTTGTTTTTTTTTTTTTTTTTTTTTCAAAAAAAGAGCTGTAGTAGCAGTTTTTCTCTCAGTTTTTTGGACCCCTCTCTTCCCACTCCTGATAGGCAACTCTTTAAGCTGTTATTTTTGTTTCCACTTCTGTATTTCAACACAGCATCCTTCAGCTGTTACTTCTCCCTTCTTTTCTTGGAGTTATTACTTACTGATGTCCTATTCTGGTCACCAAAATGAATGTTAGCATTTTTATTTCCCTGCCCCTCTCCCATTTCCTCTGTCCCCACCCTGTCACTGTGACCATGGGAGCATTTTTCTTTGTTGTAAATATCCAGCTGTTTCTTCTGTACCTACCTTTTCCTCCCTGCAGCTCTCACTGGGGTGAGATACCTGTAACCACACATAGC